CCCTACAGGGCGTCCAGTTTGTTTTGGTTCCCACCTTGCTATCCTCGAAACCCATAAGTTTAACCCCCAAAAAAAATCAGGTGAACCCCCCCCTCCCCCCCTTTAAAGAAATAAATCCTACAAAGTACACAAGGACTACAAATCAATTAAAAAACAGGTTCCGGAGTCATTTTTGTCCCTGGGAAGGGGCCCGTCAATAATTTAATTGCCGTACTGTTTATCCCTATTACCGCCCCGACGTTACAGAATTAAAAAGGGCCTATTTCAAGTTCTTAAGTTAAGTGGTCAAAAATAATCTATCAATTGACATGTGATTTCTTCCTATAATAAATGTCATCCCCCCTATGCAGTACAACAGCAAAATTGGATAAACACACTAAACAATCAGATAAGTAATAAAAATGTGGATTGGGTAACACGTAACCCGCGGGTTTCCCAAAACCTCCCAAAGACAAACGAGAACGTGAAAACCCGTTTCCCCAAACCAGGAATGGCGGACACTTTTTTTAATTGCGCCGGGTGTTTCGGACCCCACAAATGTTTTTTCGATATTTTTTTCCCAGAATAATCTAGGAAGTTGCTCCCAATGGGCCCGTGTTGTGATTCCGATTTGTTATTCCTCATAAATCGCTCCGCCCCCTTGAAAACACGAGCCCCAGTAAATGCTAAAAGGCTATAAAAACCAACCTGCAGAAACTGATAATACTTTGTTTCGCCCCCGAATTAAGATAGGAGTCTTCACAAAAAAGGCCACCACAACATACAAGCTATTTAAACTTCATAGTCCGAACGAGTGATTTCCCCAGTAAGTTATAATTTTAACTGGACACAACCGTAACACTACTACCAAATAAAATATTGTAGATGTTTTTGGAGCTGTGGGGGGGGGGGGGGGGGGGGTGGGGGGGGGGGGGGGGTTGGTGGGGGGGGGGGGGGGGGGGGGGGGGGGGGGGCAGGCACCTCCATGCCGGTTAGTTCCCCCCCCAAAATCCTTTGCATTGGGCCACGAAGGTTTTTTTAGAGTTGACCCTATTGACCAGGTATTCTCGACCTTAGGAGCGGTGTAAAATTGGTTAACGCTTTCTCCTCCTCCCTTGGCTGGCGTATTAAAGTTTGCGCGTCCCCCCCTACCCCCCGTCTAGCTAGCGAGAAGCAGCGAAGCTGGTCCCCTCAGCTGGATGCAGCTTAAAACAAGTTTTCCGGTGGTAATGTCCCACCCAACCTGGCCCCTAAAAACTGTTGAATTCTGGAAGGTAGAAGTTCTTGTTCGCAGTAAGGCCCTGATACATCCCCCTTTAATTAAACGGCCTCGCCCTTCGCAAATCAGAAAAAAAGCTAAGGAGTATTTTAACACTATGAAGAACCGGGTGCCCGGTTCCACCCCCCCTTGGTTATTGGCTAACGGCAGATTCTAATCTAATTTATCCCCAAGTATTGGCCGGGTATTGTGCCCCGGGAACCTGAAACCCCGGGTTGTTTCAGAAGGGAAAATTTGAGAAGCACAATTTGAGGAGCAAAATAAAGAATGTCCAACTAATGTGTTCATACTTCATGCCCTCAAATTTCAACAAATTTTCTGCTTTGCGAGCAGCAGTCACTGATTGATATGTTGTGCGAGCAGTGCAGTAGGTCACTGATGGGCTGACGGAAAACTGGGAACCTTTCATTTTACCTAGTTAACTAATTAACATGCAAGCTTGGGAAATCCAATCAGGCTCCGACAACTGGGAACCATCATTACATATCCCCCGACAACTAGAACCACTGGAGATATCAATCTCATGGCCAAAGTATTTGATACGAGATTACTAGAACCAGCCCTTTCGGACCCGGCTCACGTCCTTTATCTGAACACATGCCGAGAGCTCAAAGCACTTCTAATATACTTCATAATAAACAGCTACTTACTAATCGGGTAATAAACCCTACCCAGGCGGCCAGGTTCTTGGTTGTTCTATGCTGTATGAGCAGAGCTAGAAACGAGTTGGAATAAAATCAGAACGTATATTTGAAGAATGTATAGATTGTTCTAGAAATAAAACCAAAAAGCAGCTCTGAAACTTTCGTGGCGTCGCTATAAACTAATGAGATTACACTAGGAACCTGTCACCAAGGGATAATGTATCTAATTTTAATACTTGGTATAGGGGAGTTAGCGACGGACTTGCTTGACACAATAAAGTAGGAACCCTCTGCTTGCAATGGTCATGAATGAAGATTGTTTTATGATTATCATTGATCTGGGTAGCTGCTTTGACTCCTTTCTTTGTCTCAAATAAACGGGTCTTTAACATTCGCTGACAGATTACAAGCTACCATGAATTCACCGAGGGCACTGACTAGAGACTGGATGTCCCTTTGCAAAGATTTAGACGACAAAATATATACATTTCAGGATTTTTGATGAAAATTTTTTAGGAGGAATGTCCGGTTGAATGTCCGGTCAAGTTATTGGAAACTAGACTGGAACGGATATTAAAGCCGTACCGGATATCTGGTCGGTTCTAGTTCACATTCATCATACGTCATTAAATACTGAATTAAAAACTAGTAGCTTTAGTGTGCACGGTACAGCTAAACTGTGCAGCTAAACTGTGGTGTAAATCTGCCGTTTTCTGACGAAAGTGTTTAAATGGGGGTAATGCAACGACCATTAATGTCAGTATTTGAGATTTTTCCGAAACTGACATTGTCATTAATGGTCATTAATGGTCATTAATGGTCATTAATGGTCATTAATGGTCATTAATGGTCATAAGATATCTCAAATTTTGAAATATCTGGCTGTCAGAGCGAACTGTCGAAGTTGGAGTACCCGCCAGTATTTTACTTCAACAAAACAGGAGACTTTCCCTGTTCCCATGCAGGACATCTGTCATGTGTTGAAAAAACTGGTTAACTGTCTCCATTACCTCAGTACTAGATTCATCATAATGGCCGATTCTGATTCGATCGAGGACACGAAGTTCACCCTAAAACTGGGGGATGATTCTTAAACTCGCTACGGAAAGTGAAGAATTCAGAGACTCTGTATCCCCTATTACAACTCTGCAGCACTCTGATAGACAAAACCCGCAGTGTGCTGCAGAGCTAATGGCTACATGGGATGTTCTAAAACAAGCAGGATTTCTGAGCCTCTCGGCCTATCTTAAGGCCGGGTTTTTGCTCCTGGCAGCGTTTTATGACAAATCGCTGACTGTTTCAGAAAGAGCTGAAAATGCGTGGACTGTTTTCACGTTCTCTCACTCTGTGGGGAGAACACTCGAAGAAATTCAATACCAGCGAGAACTTCATAACTAGAGAAAGCTTCAAAGACTTAATAACCGCAGCTAACGGCCTTGTCTTGTATTTTGTCGACTTGATTTGTAATCACCCCAAAGCACCAGTAATACCGTGGTTTTTATCGTCTGATCATAATGAACAACTCTTCGCTCGAATTAGGGTTGGACGGCACCTCCGGGTAGACGCACACAAATCGACTCTACAAGACTCCCTGAAGCCACGGGTCGTTACAAACCGACTATTAGAGGTGGAGAATACGCTTGATGTTGAATGTGGTACAAGTGTTAATAAAACCGCTCATACCCGGTGGAAGACACTCTTTCGTTCTGAGTGGAGCAAACATCCAGAGAAAAAGATTGCTGTTGATTTTGGAGGTTTCGGTCAAGATGAGTAACCTTATCCAAAGCTTAAAAAAGAGGATCCAAAGATTGGAGAGGAACTCTTTGTTTCCTCTTCTAGTTATAGAAGTTTGTATCTTTCAGGTGATAATGGAAATGTTATTTCTGAAAGACGGCGGAGTCTCCAATTTCCACTCTCATATGGTAGTGAACAACAATCAGATGATGAATCAGACCATGAGAGTGAAGACAATTTTTCTTATTATGAGGACGAAGAGCTGGTTGTTAGCTCCACTAAGGTCAGAATTCGGGGGAAGGAGATAGACTATCGGTCTGCCGTGACCAAATATTGTAACCAAGGCAAGACCAACTTTGGTGCGAAAAGCCGAAGGAAAAGATTTTTTGGTCTTGCCTTGGATACAAGTATCGGGTTGTATCGCCCAGTCCTGTAAAGGTTTAGCAGAACCAGAGCTATGCAACGCTCAAGAGGTGCAAGTTGGTGGAACAATAACTGGTATACTCATAACAGGCAAGGATGAAAAAAGAAGGCGCACGGTTGTGCAGGGCAAAGTGGCTTTCTATATCTGTTAAGACATCTAAAGCATCACAAAGAAAAGGAAATGCTCGATCGGGAGAGAGAAGACCTGCGGTGGCGATCTGTATTGAGCACGATATATCTTCCCAGTGTTGGGTGAAGACCCAGGATGGTTCAATAATAAGTTTAGATTGAGAGAACATTCATCGGAATTAAATCTTGCTCGGTACCTTGATGCTTGATGTTATCATTGGTATAAATCTCTTTCTTAAATAGAGCTTAAATAGCGATCTTCATTAATTGTTATGGTATAATTGGGTTAGTTGTAATATGTGGTAATATGAGTGTTTGAGAAAGTTTGTAAAATTAACTTTTCATCCCCTTCCAAGACGTAAAGTACCGTCTACTTATTGTTAATTAACTTTAGGTAGGTTCTAAGTGGTCCTCGTGTCCGTCCTTCTTGTTCCAGGAAGTGCGGAAAAAAACATGACCATTAATGTCAGTATTTGAAATTTGGCAAAACTGACATTGTCATTAATGGTCATTAATGGTCATTAATGGTCATTAATGGTCATTAATGGTCATTAATGGTCGTTGCATCACCCCCGTTTAAATTCACTTCATAATTCGACGTTTTTAAACTCTTTTGGCAACTTCAATGGGGTCCCAAAAGGAGGTGGCGGGCGGTTGGTTCTGATGGTTTTTGATGGTTATCAGGGATTTCCCATAAAGGAAATTGGATAATGGAATCCAAAATCTCGAAAATGGCACGTATGTCAGAAAACGGAAGGAATTGATTAGCATTTCACTGCACGCTAAAGTAACTACCTTCTAATCCCCTGCAGGTGTGTCCGATGTTCGAGGGGATGCGCAGGTTTGACGCACGTGTCGCAGTGCGCCGTGCGCTAGAAGAGCTCGATCTCTACGTGCAGTGTCTGGATCACGATATGGTGGTGCCCACGTGCAGCAGAAGTAAGGACATAGTGGAGCCCCTTCTTAAACCTCAGTGGTAAGTAAGGGCATAGTGGAGCCCCTTCTTAAACCTCAGTGGTAAGTAAGGACATAGTGGAGCCCCTTCTTAAACCTCAGTGGTAAGTAAGGACATAGTGGAGCCCCTTCTTAAACCTCAATGGTAAGTAAGGACATAGTGGAGCCCCTTCTTAAACCTCAGTGGTAAGTAAGGACATAGTGGAGCCCCTTCTTAAACCTCAGTGGTAAGTAAGGACATAGTGGAGCCCCTTCTTAAACCTCAGTGGTAAGTAAGGACATACTCAGGTAATGGGTGTGACCAGTATTTTCCTAACGTTGAGGTTTACCCTATGTTTTACTTGTTATAACAGGTGAACTTCAAACTTTTGCGCCCAATATCTCAGAAACGCAAGGTCGGATTTCAATGCAGTTTTTCTCTACTTGTTCTTCTCCAGCAGCTCTGCTGCTCTGTCACATAATATGTGAAAATAGAAAATATGTGTTTACCCCCCTCTCCTCTGGCCTTACCCAGTCTGGAATTGAAGCCCGAAGATTTGGTTAAAATTGTTCTAATTTCCATTTTCCAAAGATTTGCTTTGTGCTTTGGTGATCTTTATAAATAAACGGTCACCACACAACAATTGTATTAACGCGTAAGAACACAACCTTTTGTATTAGTTGCAATAATCTCTTTATCAATTATCTTATGTCAAGCTAGCCATTCTCTGTTCACGAAGTAATTTAAAAACAACAAAGGAAGTATCGCAATATAAAACTCGTCTTACCGTTGATTCACAACATACTACTACTGGAGTAACAGAGCGTTACATTAGAAACATAAACTTTCTGCTAAAACAATCAACTTATTTAATATTTTAAATTTGAACAGAAACAATTGTTCAGTGTTAACTTATTAGCCAGTCTTGGTTGAGTGTGCTATTATTTGGTTTCTTAATTAGTTTCTCTAGAGCTGCTCAGTCTGAAGAACATCTGTCTGACGGAGTTAAAGGCAGGTCCAGTACCTCTAACTAACAGTGTGAGAGGGGTGAGCGTGGAGCAGATCAGAGCACATGTGGATAAGGAGAAGTATATAGCTGTCAGATCACCCCACGGAGTTGTAGTCCTCTTTTTTTCTAGCAAACTCTCGTAATTACTCTTGGAACCTAGATACCCTCCTCTTCCATCCACTACCAGCCAGGTTACTATGGAAACAGCTGAGGTGCTCACGTAGATACAAGTCAGTAGGAAGATAGTTAAGCTAGCTTTCGGTAACATGGAGATCTCCCTTTTCAGCTGCTTTACTCCATTCTCCTGAGTCAGTACACGGCGAGTATGTTTCCTTGACAAGTGGCAAAGCTGCACTATCATTAGCACAAAGCAGAACAACGTCGGTACAGCAGTAGGTAAGATAAACTGGAAAAGATTACCAAGATGGTACCCGAAGTAGGTGGGACCGTACTGTTCCTTCTCCATGGTTACAAGACTCAGTCCGAACCCGGACAGTCCCTTTATAACCAGTGACTTCACCAGGAACACCTGGTTCTCTATCCCTACCTTCTCACTAAACTGCCACAAATCCACACCTACTATTATAACACAGACCTCCATATACAGTAAGGTGCACACAGAGATTACCCTCTTGTTTATCAGATAAAAGGGCTGAATGATGTTCAGACACCGGACCACTCCCAACACACAGTTCATGAACACGCTCATCCTGATTGCAAGGGCCGTCACAAAGTAGATAATGTAGACTGGCACAGTTAACCCGGTTACTTCTCTCCCTCTGGAGATCATGAGATACAACACAGGGCTCTGTGCGAGTACACCCAGTCCTAGGAAGTAGTCTGCTATACTGTTCTGGAGGTACAGATCCTGAACGAACCCCCTAGACGCTCTTTTACCGTGCATTGTGTAAGTTAGTATGATGTTGAGGACAATACAACACACTGATAATAAGAAGTTCGCTGTGTTCAGGACAATGATTCCAGTCCAGTCCTCTTCTGCCTGAATAGTTGTTGTGGGAACTGGAGCGTACGCCTGCTCTCTCTTTACAGTTGTTTGTTGAGGATACGGGATTCTCTCCGGCTTGTCTATTGGAGTATTCTTTGCTTCATCTTTTTGCTCAATAGGATAAGTTGGATCCTTCATGTTACCCTCGGCTGTGGGAACCTCATCAACAACACTATGATTTACTCCGTTACTCTGGACTGTAAGAACTCCCAGAGTTACCAGTAGGATTGCTGGTCTGACGAACACGATCATTACAATTGAAACAAATGGACAAGACAACTAGTAAGTTGTGTTCTATATGATGATGCAATGTTTAATTGTTTATTCAATAACGAAGGTGAGTATTATAGACAATACAAATATTGCTCAACCCCGCACAATGAATTTGAACAATGGTTTATTCGAATTCTGGGTGTATTTTAAATTAGTCGAACTGCCGCTCTACAAATACATATGTTGTGAAATCCATTAACCAGTGAAGATATGAGAGAGGTACAAAGACTGTGTCACGAGTTGGCTTAATAAAAGAATAGTTCGTTTTATAATAAAGGAAAATGTGACTTCTTAGTGTTTAAATACACTAGCTACGTATAAGAATTGGTACAGCTAATACAGGATATAGAGCATTGTGTCAAAATACACTGATAAATATAGTCTCAGAATGCTAGCAGCTTACTTAACAAGAGAAACAACTAGTGTTGTTAACTTAACAAGTGTTATAAGATTAACTAGTGTTATAATGTTATCGACATCTTCATCAGGTTTCCATTTATCAAAACCGCAAAATTACAATGGGAAATATTTTAAAATTGCAATTGGAAATATTTCAAAATTGCAATGGGAAATATTTCAAAATAACAATGGGAAACATTTCAAAATATTTCAACTCATTTTTCATTTCCACTGCGCAAAGTTAAACTTATCAAGAGGCGATGGATTTTGTTTATATGATGAGATAATTATTCACTATTCAGGTGGATAAACTGTAAAGACATGGCAGCGAGGTCCATCAAGAAAGTACAAGATGGTGAACTGAAGCTCATCCCGAGCCAATTCGACAAAACTTGGTAAGTTCTTGGAAATTATTTCTACTACTATTGAATCATGATAGATATTAGGACCAATATTATAATGTTTGGTGTCTGGAATGATGTAGATGTAGATGTTCTCGTCAATGTTTGTTGGCCATTTACCACGCCCTCTTTATATCATCTTAACATGAACAGGGAGGGACAGGGATTGTATCTCCCTGTTTGTTGTCCTGATCTCTAGTGGTGCTCTCTTACTTCAAACCAATGCCTCTCTTTTAGACAGATTATTACTAGCCTTGTCCGCCTCAATGTTCATGCTAGGACCCGGTCTGTTCCCCCGGTGGGAGAGTCTGATAATATCGTTCCTCTTAAAGTCCAGGTATTTAGAAAACTTTTCCAAATACTCTACCTCCGGACTGACAAACTCTTCTGTGTCACTGTTGTTGTTGTCTAGTGTGAGACGTGCTATCTGGTTAGACACTGAGCTCTGTTTTAAGGAGTTCCGTAGTCCAGAGATCTCTTTAGATACCACCTGGAATGATATGTTAACATCAGTTACAAACTAGTATATCTTGAGATTAAAGAGGAATAACAAGCTGGGCGGCCCAGCTTGTTATTCTTCTTTAAGCTGGGCCCCAACAAGATCAATATTCGCGTCATTCACAGGTTGAGGCGGTCAAAACCAGGATTTTGTCCACAAGACAATATCACTACTTTTACTGTTACTACTACTATATATATCATAATATTGAGGGTGTATTAGTAATTTAACCTCCAGTTTGTCCAGCAGCATGACATTGTCCTCCCTCATCTGCCCAGCTAGTTTCTGATACTTCTTAACCTGACTCTTCAAGTAGCCGGACAGTTGTATTAAGTTATCTAGTTCCTCTGTCAGGTGCTCTATCTGTCCGTCCTGTGGTAATTAACAGTGCAATTAAAACAGGATAATTAACAGTGCAATTAAAACAGGATAATTAACTCACAGTTACCTTATCTTCTCTTAACTGTCTCTTCATTGTTCAATCTCATAATCATAAAAATATTTCCTCGTTTAATCATTAGTTACAAAATCACATGGGTTCACGGTTCACACAATCACGTACCTGAATAGAGATGGTAACTTTGAGTCTCTGGTGCTCTTTTAACTTGACTCTGTCCATGAGCCTAGCCTGAGTGTAGTTAGTAATACGAGTAACCCACTTTAACCTGTCTTCTGGGGTGTAGGACGCTAAGTACAGACTCTTATCATGTACTCCTGTTAAACCGTCTATCCTGGGGGATTGGTTAATGGTTACTGGTTACCATGGTTACTAGTTCTCATTCTGGGGGATAAGTTACTTGTTACCATGGTTACTAGTTCTCATCCTGGGGGATTAGTTACTGGTTACCATGGTTACTAGTTCTCATCCTGGGGGATTAGGTACTGGTTACCATGGTTACTAGTTCTCATCCTGGGGGATTAGTTACTGGTTACCATGGTTACTAGTTCTCATCCTGGGGGATTAGTTACTGGTTACCATGGTTACTAGTTCTCATCCTGGGGGATTGGTTACTTGTTACCATGGTTACTAGTTCTCATCCTGGGGGATTAGTTACTGGTTACCATGGTTACTAGTTTCTATGGTTACTGGAATTATACGTTATGTAACTATAAAGATGATTATGTTTGCTGACCTGAATACGAACTGGCACTTGTCCACATTGTCCATGTCAGGTTCACTCTGACAGAAAGCAGTTGACCCCACGTGGAAATATTGGCACTTTCCCAACATTACTGTTGGTATATCATCTGCTACCTGGGAAGGGAGCACGTGATTATTTACAAGACATTGATTATCAGTTACACAAATGAGAGTTTATGTCCCTGACTGATGGGGAAGAAGAATTTATCCCTCCTTATATGGGCATCATGTGCCTCTACTATAGAAGTATCGATTCCTGCCATAAAAGGTAACATTGTCATGGTAACACTACCATAAAAGGTATACAGGCAGGGTTTAGTATCTGACCTGGTTGCTCTTCTGGTAGCTGCCTGCATCACAGTAACACAGAACACCGCTCTCACTTTCAAACTTAAACATTTTCATCGTCCACTTCTTAACAGCCCCTCCCTGCAAATATAGTGTAGATTAGGTAGTTGTTAGGGACAACTTCTTCATCGCTCTAAACCAATCAGTTACAAACCCACAAATAGATGCTTCTAACTAACCTCAGACACTTCGTAGCAGACCTTTCCGTATTTCTTGTCATTAAAGAAAGGAGCCTTCATCAGTATTCCATACAGAGGCTTCCTAAGCGAGTCTTCCATCTCAAACAAGGCTATAGAGGATCCTGACATTTCTCTCTTGTGTCTCACGGGAGGCGTGTAACTTAGGGGCAGTGTGTTTCTAAGGGAAGGAGTCTTGTCGTTACCATGGCGACTGAGGCTCCCAGTAAGGTTCCTGTCAAGCTGTTTGGTGGCCATCACGTTCTCAACTACAAAGTGCATCAAACAGAATAAGAAGTGAGATTGTTGTTGGGGAATGTTGAGTAGCTTACACTTACTATGTTATTATACGTGTGTTATCTTCATCCATTGTGGTTTACCTACATTCTTCAGTATAGTAATTAGTAGTACAAGCAGTTGTGTGTCTGTCTGTGTGTCTGTCTGTGTGTCTGTCTGTGTGTCTGTCTGTTTGTGTGTCTGTCTGTCTGTCTGTCTGTCTGTCTGTCTGTCTGTCTGTCTGTCTGTCTGTCTGTCTGTCTGTCTGTCTGTCTGTCTGTCTGTCTGTCTGTCTGTCTGTCTGTCTGTATGTCTGTATGTCTGTCTGTCTGTCTGTCTGTCTGTCTGTCTGTCTGTCTGTCTGTCTGTCTGTCTGTCGGTCTGTCTGTCTGTCTGTCTGTCTGTTTCTTTTGCACGTAATGATATCCTCTGATCAGGTACAACTGGTTAGATGACTGCAGAGACTGGTGCATTTCCAGACAGCTCTGGTGGGGACACCAGATACCTGCTTACAAAGTCAACCTCTCCGGGAAGGAGTCTGGAGATCTGGACAACGATATGTGGGTAAGTTGAAAGTAGTTCTAGTACACCTGGTGTTCCAAGACTCGTGTCCAAATTTGAAATTATAATATTTTAATTTTATGAAGGAGCAAATTAGATGCACTCGGTTTAAGGATGCTTGTTTTTTCTTACATTTTAGTTAATTCTTATTAAGATTGAAGAGGTAGAGACAGTTACATTCTCCAACGTATTCCATACAAAACTTTTCTGGGGCATGTTTCTGGGGCATGTTTCTGAGGCATACTACCGAATGGTAAATATTATTTCACTCTCTCAGGTAAGCGCTCACACAGAAAAGGAAGCTATGGAGAAAGCTGTGCTGAAGTTCAAGGTGCCCTGCTTCAGGTAGACAATGATTACAGTGTAATATTGCTATATTATTATAATAGTTATAACTTGATTTAGAAGTTGTCCCTGCCTACCCCTGGCTCTGACGTTTCGTAGTACAAATAACAGTTGTATTGCTAGTGGTCAAATGACACCGCGGTTATTGTAAAGAAAATGAAGCTTTTACATTGGAGAATGGAGATATGGTCGATAGGGATTGGGACCCATTCATACAATTATAAATTCTGGCAAATATGCATCTTTAAAAACTTGTTAATAGCCTTCTTAAGTTATTTTAATTCACTCAATTCAGTACAGTGAGTTCCAATCAAGTTTTAAAATAATCCTCACCGTAGAAGTACCCCTGATCCCCTGTTACTCCTTTAGAAATATCCCTGATCCGGGACGAGGATGTGCTGGACACGTGGTTCAGTTCGGGACTGTTCCCCTTCTCCACAATGAACTGGCCGGACAACACGGTAGATCTGAAGACGTTCTATCCTAACAATGTGCTGGAGACAGGTCACGACATTCTCTTCTTCTGGGTCGCTAGAATGGTCATGATGGGACTGGTATGTAGTGTTAGAATAATACTAGCTACTTGTGCTCTAGTGTTAGTATACTACTAGCTACTAGTACTTTAATACTAGTGTTTAGTAGCTGAGTTAGCTTTAGTTAACTCGTGGAGTCTGTGTATTGAGGTTTAGTTTTAAGTTTTTTAATTGATTGGTGTGAATACTTGAATGGGAGTTAGTAGCCTGTTTTTTTTGTTTTTTGTTTAAACCAGAAACACAGGAGTGGTATTTGTAACATAACCGGATAAACACAATAACTTGAATATTTTTCGTAACTTGGTGAATAAAGACTTTTCCAAAAACATTCAAAAATCTCACTGGATCAGAAAAAATGCTACTAGTACATACTAAGATAAAAATAGCCGAAAAACGTTGATTAAGATTGTAATGTTATCAGATCAATTCAGTTAAAGTAAAAATCTCCTTGTTATACTTATTGTTAAAGGAGTTCAACAGTGAAATATGGAGCTGTTAACTGGAGAGTTTACAAGAAGAATCAGTCGTCACATGTCTTCCCGTTGTGGAATAGCTTGAAGTGTGTGATAAACCGCTCCGTTACTGTTGCGCCTTCAAAATCGCTCAGAATGTCACAGGCTTGTTTCAATTTCTCAACCAGCTCAACGGAGACCGTTTTGTTAAAGAACTTGTCCCCTCGAAGCAGATCCCAGCGGCTGAACACTGTTGCGTCCCCCTGCTCACATTCGCATTCCTCTGTGCTGTTTGTTTCTTCTTCTCCATCTTCCTCCGTTGGTTTTTCTCCACTTTCCTCTGTTAGTTCCTGGGTGCAACCTACGTCAATCTCAGTAACATTACCTGATTTCTCCTCGAGTAACAAGTCTTCCCATTTCAGGTACCTACTTCGTCCGTACTTTTCCTCTACATCAGAACATTTTCCGGCGTCCGTCATCTCCTTTACTTCAGCTGCTTCGAGTTCTTTGTCAAATACATTCACCTTAAAGAGCTCTCCACCAAAAGCATTTCTATCTTCAAACCCACCCCCATAAGAGTCGACTCGTTCCCCAGAACCATATACCCGTCCAATCCAAGCTTCCTACCAGAGGGGGTTGTTCTTGATCCGATAAGGATGCCATCAAAGTACACACTAGCTGCTCTAGTAGTGAGACTCCACGTGTGGCAAACGTGTCTCCATATCCCTAGTTGTTCAGTTACCTTACTTCTCTCGTTTACACCAGTGCCCAACGTATGGAAATATCCGTCATCGTCTGACCTGATCTCCTCTTTATCACCAGATGTTCCGTAAGCAAACCAGACCTTCCAATCTCCAGGCATTATCCTCTTCAGCCATCCACATACCGAGAAGGACTTATCTAGGGGTTCCATTCTTGGCTTTAACAGAACGTAGTCTTGAGCAGTTGCTCCAAACTTTAGTCCTCTGTAGCGTCTTTCTACCAGTCCAGCATGGTCCGAGGTAGAGTCCGCGGTGGTGGTGGCAAGGGTTCCGAGTAGGAGGAGGAGAGATAAGGTGAGCAACATGGTAAACAACTGTTCGATTGTGAGCTCTCCTACAAATACTCGGGTTTATAAACACGATCACATTGTCAGACGATAGTTTTCGGGTTTTGACTTTGACTTTATTAGAAAGATTCCGGATAGGTGTTGAGGAACTGCTACTCATGGCAATGTTTCATCATACCAAGCATTTTTATCTCCTAATACGGCTATAAGCAACCTGGTTTGTTAGATAATATTATCTCCTCCATGTCTCACGGTTATACGGAGTAATGTCACGTGTTACTGCACGTGTTACTGCAGTGATAAGTACTAAAATACCAGGTTGATCACGAATAAACCTGTTTTAACAGTTTCTTATCCAGGAACTGATGGACGAGCTGCCGTTTACAGAAGTGTACTTGCACCCCATCATACGAGATGCCCACGGTATTAAGATGAGTAAGAGTTTGGGTAATGTAGTGGATCCTTTACATATAGTGTCAGGGATAACACTGGAGGAGCTTCATAAAGCTGTGGATAATGGGTTAGTAACCATAGTAACCATAGTAACCATAGTAACAACTAACACTACCATAATATAAGGTAATGGTGAGCCAGTCTTATGAGCCATTCTCTTTTGTTTCTGTATTTAATTGAGATCATGTGAAATTCCAGCTATTCTAGTTACTTATGAAACCCAAAGGTTATTTGTTAATATGCATTCTGTTTTAAAAGCTTGTATGCTGTGTTTATCTACTGCTGAAGATATGACAAAGATATTCACTATTCCAATTGGCCAGGTATTTAGATGAAAAGGCACTGAGTAAAGCACGTGCAGGACAGACCAAACTGTACCCTAACGGAATTCCCGAGTGTGGAACTGACGCTCTACGCTTCGCTCTCTGCTCTTATCTAACGCAGGTTAGTAACCATAGTAACACTAGGTCATATAAGGTAATGTTAGTGCTCGTATCTAAGTTCTAACTCAGGTTAGTAACCATAGTAACACTACCATAAGGTTAGTGCTTGTATCTAACTCAGGTTAGTAACCATAGTAACACTACCATATAAGGTAATGTTAGTGCTCGTATCTAACTCAGGTTAGTAACCATAGTAACACTACCATATAAGGTAATGTTAGTGCTCGTATCTAACTCAGGTCAGTAACCAAAGTAACACTACCATATATGGTAATGTTAGTGCTTGTATCTAACTCAGGTTAGTAACCATAGTAACACTACCATATAAGGTAATGTTAGTGCTCGTATCTAACTCAGGTCAGTAACCAAAGTAACACTACCATATATGGTAATGTTAATGCTCGTATCTAACTCAGGTTAGTAACCATAGTAACACTACCATAAGGTTAGTGCTCGTATCTAACTCAGGTTAGTAACCATAGTAACACTACCATATAAGGTAATGTTAGTGCTCGTATCTAACTAAGGTTAGTAACCATAGTAACACTACCATATAAGGTAATGTTAGTGCTCGTATCTAACTCAGGTTAGTAACCATAGTAACACTACCATATATGGTAATGTTAGTGCTCGTATCTAACTCAGGTCAGTAACCAAAGTAACACTACCATATATGGTAATGTTAATGCTCGTATCTAACTCAGGTTAGTAACCCCAGTAACACTACCATATATGGTAATGTTAATGCTCGTATCTAACTCAGGTTAGTAACCATAGTAACACTACCATATATGGTAATGTTAGTGCTTGTATCTAACTCAGGTTAGTAACCATAGTAACACTACCATATAAGGTAATGTTAGTGCTCGTATCTAACTAAGGTTAGTAACCATAGTAACACTACCATAAGGTTAGTGCTCGTATCTAACTCAGGTTAGTAACCATAGTAACACTACCATATATGGTAATGTTAGTGCTCGTATCTAACTCAGGTTAGTAACCATAGTAACACTACCATATAAGGTAATGTTAGTGCTCGTATCTAACTCAGGTCAGTAACCATAGTAACACTACCATATAAGGTAATGTTAGTGCTCGTATCTAACTAAGGTTAGTAACCATAGTAACACTACCATATAAGGTAATGTTAGTGCTCGTATCTAAATCAGGTCAGTAACCAATATGTTTCTGCATTATAATTATTATTTTCAAGACATTACCCTGTCTCCAGGCACGTGACTTGAACCTAGACGTGTTGAGAATAGAAGGGTACAGGAAGTTCTGCAACAAGATGTGGAACGCTGCTAAGTTCGCTCTAATGCAGCTGGGAGACAGCTACACTGCTCCTGACAGGGACCTGATGACCTGCAAACTGGAGACTGCTAACTTCTCTACTATTGGTGGGTTTTACACGCGTACCACGTGTTACCACGTAACTTTTGCCTTCTTGCAGTATTTAGGTTATTACTTATTGGTTGACGCACTACTCACAAGCGTCAGGACATTGTACACAAGCGTTTTGCTTTTTTTCAATGTTTACTGGTCACCCATCTGAGCTGACGTAACATTAAATAGGTAATACTAATTGTAGTTACACTAGCTAATACTAACCTTATTCCCTTCAGATAAGTGGATATTGCACAGAGCAGCAGTAGCTATATCAGACACTAACACCTCCCTTAAAGAGTACCAGTTCCAGCAGTGCACCACTGCTATCTACAACTTCTGGTTATACGACCTGTGCGATGTTTACTTAGAGGCCACAAAACGCGTCTTTTACAAGGTAACCATGGTAACTGTATTGTTAACGTAACGTGCTGTTTACACATTCTAAAAGCCATGATAACAACACGCTGTTTATTACCCTACATCTCTCTCAGGGTAGTGAGGATGAGAAGGAAGCAGCTAGACACACTCTCTACACTTGTCTGGATGTGGGACTCAGGCTCATCCACCCCTTCATGCCCTTCATTTCAGGTAATTAGTCGTTCTGAACTTTTAGCAATAGTTAACATTACGGTTTCAAACGTCGGTCTGGAAAAAGCGATGAAACTTACCCGGCTTGCTGGCTTGGTTCTATGTGGGAGAGATGCACACAGCTGAGGGAGCATGTCTCGCTCCTTATCTTGCTCCTTATCTCGCTCCTTATCTTGCTCCTTATCTCGCTCCTTATCTAATATCTAATAAAATACCCTGCCTATTATAGAGGAGTTGCTCAGGGAGCATGTCTCGCTCCTTATCTTGCTCCTTATCTCGCTCCTTATCTAATATCTGATAAAATACCCTGCCTATTATAGAGGAGTTGCTCAGGGAGCATGTCTCGCTCCTTATCTTGCTCCTTATCTCGCTCCTTATCTAATATCTAATAAAATACCCTGCCTATTATAGAGGAGTTGCTCAGGGAGCATGTCTCGCTCCTTATCTTGCTCCTTATCTCGCTCCTTATCTAATATCTAATAAAATGCCCTGCCTATTATAGAGGAGCTGTGGCAGAGATTACCTCGGCTAGGAACAGAGACAGCACCCTCACTGGTGGTAGCTTCCTACCCCCGAACTGGAGCGCTCTGGTTGGACACTCAGTTGGAGTCTAGAGTAAACCTCGTCAAAGACATTGTACATACCGCCAGGTTAGTCTAGAGTAAACCTCGTCAAGGACATTGTACATACCGCCAGGTTAGTCTAGAGTAAACCTCGTCAAGGACATTGTACATACCGCCAGGTTAGTCTAGAGTAAACCTCGTCAAGGACATTGTACATACCGCCAGGTTAGTCTAGAGTAAACCTCATCAAGGACATTGTACATACCGCCAGGTTAGTCTAGAGTAAACCTCGTCAAGGACATTGTACATACCGCCAGGTTAGTCTAGAGTAAACCTCGTCAAGGACATTGTACATACCGCCAGGTTAGTCTAGAGTAAACCTCGTCAAGGACATTGTACATACCGCCAGGTTAGTCTAGAGTAAACCTCGTCAAGGACATTGTACATACCGCCAGGTTAGTCTAGAGTAAACCTCGTCAAGGACATTGTACATACCGCCAGGTTAGTCTAAAGTAAACCTCGTCAAGGACATTGTACATACAGCCAGGTTAGTCTAGAGTAAACCTCGTCAAGGACATTGTACATACCGCCAGGTTAGTCTAAAGTAAACCTCGTCAAGGACATTGTACATACCGCCAGGTTAGTCTAGAGTAAACCTCGTCAAGGACATTGTACATACCGCCAGGTTAGTCTAAAGTAAACCTCGTCAAGGACATTGTACATACAGCCAGGTTAGTCTAGAGTAAACCTCGTCAAGGACATTGTACATACCGCCAGGTTAGTCTAAAGTAAACCTCGTCAAGGACATTGTACATACCGCCAGGTTAGTCTAGAGTAAACCTCGTCAAGGACATTGTACATACCGCCAGGTACAACAAAAAAAACATATCGCCAGGTTAGCAGTAGTTGTTTAATGTTTTTCTCACTTTTACTTTTATTTTACAGCAAGAGTCAGCTTACCACTATATATGTGGTATGTATAAATAATAAATATGATATTAAGACTGCGAGACCCAGATGTTCTGATGGTTAAAATTTGCAGATCTGTGAAAGATACGTATTTGGAGTCAAAAGCAAAACCAGAAGTGTTCTTATCGACCTCGGAATCATTGTCTGATCTCATAGCTGTTATGGAGGACTTGATAGGAAGTACTAAGTTACATCTTAACGAGTCAATACCCCTCGGTTAGTGAACCTCTATATCCAGATACCCTTATACAATGCACGGGGGGGGGGGGGGGTCTCTACACTTTTATACAATGCTATCATGTGTTCTCCCCATTACTACTTCCCACTACGACGATACTCTACTACCCTGACTAAACCCTTCTCTCCTCTAAACTGTACTCTCTCAGGTACTGCTGTAGGCACTGTGGGTAACAGATGTGAAGTTCATGTTCTGGTGAAGGGACTTGTGGACCCTGTTCAGGAGATTAACAGGTTCACTTCTTACTGATAATTATTATAGTGTCTACTAATCACTTACTAATCACTTACTAATCACTTACTAATCACTTATTAATCACTTACCAATCACTTGTTGATCACTTACTAATCACGTATTAATCACTTACCAATCACTTGTTGATCACTTACTAATCACTTACTAATCACTTACTAATCACTTACTAATCACCTATTAATCACTTAATAATCACTGACTAATCACTTACTAATCGCCTATTAATCACTTACTAATCACTTACGAATCACTGATAGCTTATTACTAATTTTTAAGTACGATTGAGATTTAGAAAATAATTTCACTTTGCTCATGATTGTCCCATTCCTGATGTAGTGATAGTTGTTTGGATCATTCTGAATTCTAATCTTCATCTCTTTCACAAGTTGTTCATGTGCAGTTCGTTCTTCTCATGTTCTATCGGGACTAATGTACACGTTTTTGAAGTTGCCTGACTCTTTCAGTTTTCTAGCTTGGCTCAAAACCATTTGAACAGAATCAGAACTTCTGACGACAACTTTGACCGGCCTGTTGCCCGAACCTTCTGAAAAAGTTCCTAATCTAACACAGTCCTGTATACACGGTTTTTGGCCAATAGAGACCATCAACTCGTTGATCTTTGCTGAAAGATCTTCTTCTTTCTCATCATGAAGTCCGAATACCATAATGTTTTTACCTTTGTCCTCCTCCTTCACTACTGTCTTAACTCTTAACCTCTTTTGTGAGCTTCTCTTGGGTGACAACTGATTCAATGCAGCTTTTCTTAGCTATGTCGCAATTACGTTTCATCTCCGACTGAACCGTTGAAGTTACTGTCTCAAGCTGGTCAGTTTTGTTCGTGATGACTTTCTCTTTCTCTTTCTCTTGCAGTTTTATGCAGTATCTTTATCTCTGATCGCGGCACTTTGAAGCTTTACGATAGTACTGTGGCGACCTTAAGCAATTCATTCGAAAATTTGAAGCTTTTCGCAATTTCGTGTATCCATTTTTATAAAGATCAGCGATGAGAGAGCTCAAAATGAGTAACAAAAGCGATAACAACTAAACAACAACACTTTTAAGTACCACATTTGGGGTACAAAATCATCAATTAAACCGAAAAAAACCAGTCCCATAACTCTTACCGTTTTCTTGATTAAGCCGTTCGGAAATTACAAACACACACACACACACACACACACACACACACACACCCCACCCCACACCCACACCCACACCCACGTCCCACACCCACACCCACAGATTTGTTGGGATTATTGCTATAGATCCTTATCCTCCCTTTTCCAGACTGCAAACTAAACGTGAAGGTGTAGAGAAGTTCGTGCAGCAGACGAAGGAAACAATAGACAAACACACGGACAAGGTTCCGGAACACGTGCGACAAGCTAACTGCAATAAACTCGGTTCTTTGCAAGACGAGCTGGTTACCATAGACACAGCTATCGCTAACTTCAGGAAACTCACTGATAATTAGGAGTTTTCAGTTTTAGTTTAGGAGTTAGATCTGGTCATATTCATCATCCGACACATCGTTTAATATTTAAAAGGGGATGTTTTTCCGCTGACTTTAATTTATGTGATTTTCCTGTTTTTACGGAAATATTTGAGATAATGAAGAGATTAATGAAATATAGTGTTTTATTTGGTGACAAGTAATTTAAGTCTTTGCTTCAAATTTAGTTAATTGTATTTAAACAACGTTATTTTCCTTATAACTGAAATCTGAGAAGCAAGACCGTGCGTCTTTCACATATTTTCATCGCGCGTGTGTTCGCCTACCACCTTGTTCATTGTTATTAGTAGGCATATGTGGAAGGAATTTAATTTTATGTAGTTTAAGGAGTCCTCACTTTCCTCACGTCCAAAAAGGCTAAAGTGTAGTGTCAAATTGTCTCAAAAAGTGTAAAAAAGTGACATTTCTTTTCCCATCAAAGGTATGTCTTACATTTTACCAAAACCCATAATCATGGGTAGAGTGGAGCGCTGCCAGTGTCTCTCTTTCCCAAACAAAAGGCAATGATATCAATTTGAATGACCGTTATCAAATGCAAAATGATACCGAGAATGAAATCGGTCGCTCGCTTTTCCCACTCATTCATGGCTAACGAATTGTAATAAGTTTCGATTTATAACATGTAATCTATTTCAATTGTAAATGAATGGGAAAAGCGAGCGACCGATTTCATTCTCGGTATCATTTTGCATTTGATAACGGTCATTCAAATTGATATCATTGCCTTTTGTTGGGAAAGAGAGACACTGGCAGCGCTCCACTCTACCCATGATTATGGGTTTTGGTAAAATATCATCTCTTTTTTATTATAATGTCAGGGTACTTTACAAAGCCGAAATGTAAATCATAACTTCATTAATATTAATTTGCCAAGCATCTCGATTTCCCGATAACCACGCACCCCCCCTCTAACTTACTATACAAGCTCAAATTTTAATATAACATCCGATTGGAATGCTTCTCCACTACTTATCGTCACCAAGCGTACAACCTCCCTACGCGCCACCGCTCCCCCCAGCAATGTGTATTAATGGGGCCTATCACATCCTTGCCGAGCCACACATGACGCCCTCAACCCCAGCCCCTCCCCCCCCCCCCCCCGCTCCACTACCCTCACAAACTAGGCCCTTCCGCAAGGATTGCCATGCACAAAGGGCCCATTAATATGCCCGCATTAGTCACACTCGAGCTTTCAACACGGCCATCCCCCCCCTCGGTTACTCGCTATAGTGTAGAGGCCCGTATCTCCCCTATCCCCATTCACTGCCCCCCTTTGCCTCCCTAAAAGTTAAATCCATTCTGCCATCCAAAGGTAAGGGCTTGCCTTTCACCCCTGACATCCTCAAAGTGCCCCTTCTCTCCTTCCACCTCTCGGCCCCCCCACCCGGCTCTCAATACTCACACTCCTGCAACCACTCTAGCCTCAGTCCAACTTACTCTTTCCCGCCCTCACCCTCCCGCCGGTGTTCAAGCCGACTGAGAGCTCACTTTGATCAATTTTCAGGAATATCTTCTATTCCACCTGGCTTCAGCTATATCTAATTCTATTTTTTCGAGCTCATCTCTTTGGAAACCGACTTCCTCTTTCCTTGAGTGATTATCAGACACAGGTGTGTTTAAACAGAATTAATAAACACCATCTGGAAGGTACATGTTTGTACTGATTCTGTAGATATTGACCACCTAGTTCCTGATCCTGACATTTCTTTTTCTCCAGACTCCGGGTAGTGTATTTCTTATTATTTTTGTTTAATTTTTTTTTTGAGGTAATCATCACGAATTTTTGATTTATTCGATACATTTTGATTTTAGTCTTTTATATTCAACTTAATTAAAATTTTATCGTTAAAAACTTCATTCCCATTGGAATTATTACAAAACAGCCACTTGATATTGAGAATTTTGGGTGTGGCAATGATCTTAAAAAACCTAGAAAAGGCCTCCTAAGTTCACAGCTAATATTACTTTCAATTGCCCATTTTTTCTCCCTTCTGCACTTGGGGCCCCAAGTAATTGCTCGACTTTTCATCAGGTCTCTTCGAGGCCTTTTGTTTGGTTATTTGGGTGTATTGGTGTCCCTATTGTTATCAATCGCCTGTACACTTGTCACAGGCCATTTTTTGGTTTCTCTAGTCCTTTTTTAGACAATTCTATTCAACATCTGATATTGTTATAAATTCTGATGAATACATAATTGAATAGATTTCAATAAAAGAAAAATAAATCTGGATACCATATTATGTTAGCCCGTAGGCGGTTATTGCGGTAGAAGACACTTTGATTTCCTTGACCTGGTGAAGATTAACCAACAATTGGTAGGAATTGATACTAAGAGAGCGAAATCGATAGAAAAAGTTTTAGAGAATAGTGTGGTATGACTAACATCTGCCATTTTTCAAGTACGTCCGCAGGAAAACCTGTTCTTTACAACACAGTTTTAGATTATATAAGATCTTCAATATCGCTATTTGGTGAATATTAGATCTAATCTTTTAACTCTAAATGATTGTATAAAATCTCAAGCTTCTAACTTTTATATGGATTTTAAAATAAGTTGTATTTATAATTTTAGCGATTATGATCCATGATAAATTTAATATGTTATTTTGTTTTGATATCATGTGTTAATTTGATGAATAGCTGCTCGAAACCTTTACTCTTGATGGCATGTACCGTTCGGTACAGGGCTCTAATATGTACGGTTCAGATACTTAATCTCTTTATAGGTAACGTACCGATATGGCCACATGTAATGGTTCAACATTTTTTTCAAATTTTTTAGTATCAACTTCACAAAGTTTTGATTTACTTGCAATCTTCCTGTTTGTTTTATATCATATTTTTTGTGATAGAAAGTCGAAAATTAACAAGTGGTTAAAACAATAAAAGATTTAAAAGGTAAATTTGTGTACTGGATCACGCTCCTTAAACCGGTATCTACACTACTATTACTGGTAATGATCGATAAACTCAACGCTTCATCCTTTTGGTGCAGTATACGAAAACACCAGATTTTCAGCTAGCTCAGGGTCGCCTACCCTTAATCTACGCTTGTCCTCATAATATACCTTAGTAATCTCTAAAAATTGGTCTCACAAATTGACGAAAACACTGACATACTATTTGGGCCAATGTTTAATGCAGAAAAAAGTGCTCTCCAAATTCATTTCCAGTTATATTGGACGGATTAATAAGTTCATAGGTTACTGATCGCATCAGTGTAGGTATTTTCACCTTCTCATGTCGATCGTACGTTCTAGTTTTTTGTTTCCTTTGCTATCAAAAATGGTTTTCAAACCTTCAGCCTTCTTTTTTAAGTACGTCACGTACAGCTAATTTTAATGGTTACGTACAGTAAGCAACTTACACATCCTTTTGCAAAACAAACCACAAAGTATCTTAAAATTATACGGGCGGGAAGGTGAAGCACACTCATATTGGATACTAACTGTCAAAGTCTAGAGTTATTGCTCAGAAAATTTAAAGGTTGGCGTTGTTTGTGGGCTTTATTTGTAGGTTCACAACTCAATATCATCAAACGTATGTTCGCCTAAAAAGCAAATATGGCGCACTATGCAACTAAGTGCATTTGGGCTAATCGGTCATTGCGCTAAACATATTTGGAAATAGTCCCAACACAATACCAAATGAAGTGCGAGTTATGAGCTGAACGTTCCGTATTGAATTTGAATTATGAAAGAAATGTGGCGCAGTATTTTTCTCCGCAATGTTATTGAAATATGCGCACGATCATACACACCATACGATGTACAGGATAGAAAATTTTAATTGGCACTGTATATCATATTTGTTATACGCGACGGCGCATTACATCAATGATAAAATGTTATAAATTTGGGTCCATTTTTGTTAATATTGAGATGTCAATCTTCCGCAGCTCGGCGAGAACCCAGTACTCATTAGGATCTCGACGATTTTTTATTCTAGAAATAGATTCTTTTATTAGAAACATTCGGATAGCGTGCTGAGGAACTGGCTATCGTTTTGCAGACTATATAATGATATATAGAATAAGCTATTTTGGAAGGTGGGAAAAGTAATGAAATTTTAAAGGTCGATTTGAGGGTGAAGATGCGTTAGTACTACCGCTATTAGTGTAGCCCCTTTTGTGTTGAAAAAATTTCTGAAGTTTCTTTTGCCTCTTGGTCACCTTCTCATCCCCCAATCTGCTCCATCTCCCCCTTGTTTTTTCTTATGGTGCCATTTATCCTTTGTAAATAATTGGCACAGCCACTTTTACATAAATGGAAAGCCACCCCGTACCCCCCAGCCTATTCCGTAAAACTGCGTGTTTGGTTTTATGGCCAGTAAAACCTTAATGGTAGGTGCCGGATATGTAAGGAAAAAGTCGATTAAGATAAACTTTGTCAATAATATAGTGTGTAATTATATATTCACGTTTTGCAGACTATATAATGACAATAGATCAGCTTTCATTTTAATAGTGATTGTCATTATATAGTGTTGTCATTATCTAGTGTGAATACCTTGGGGCCTTACTTTGAAAATAAAAGAAATTAGAATACGCTTCCCCCCCCCCCCTCTGCGTTCCCCCCCCCCTTAACCCCCCCACAACCCCATCATCCCCCCTCCGCCTTGTATAATTAAAGCTTTCAGCACCAGGACGGCGGAATTTCTACTCAACATAAAGTCGATTCTGAACCTATCCGCCGAGAACTCCTTAGTGTGGGACCTTATACATAAGTCCCCTCGCCCCCACACGCACCCGCCCGCCCCCCTCTACTTTGGGATTCTTGTCTCTCTAGTATTGCCCCGTCTCGTTATCTGCGAAGTGGTACGTGTTGCCAATTGCTTGCTTGGAATAAGGAAGAGTGCTAGTCTAATAGACACTCGCAATGACCTAACCGAAGCGCAGTTTATATACCCGCGCCCATCCAGGAGCACCTTTTGGATGTTGACAAAATCTTTAGTTTCTTTGTGGTATTTTAAATTGATATTTGATCTTATTTGGTGGTGATTTTGTTTGGCAAAGTTGGAGCGTTTAAAAATGAAAGCGAAAGTCTTTTATTTTACGGCGAGTGGGGTTTTACATTGATACATGTTTCGTTTCCGCGCGAAAAGTGGCTATGCAATACGTTTATGTCAAGTTTTTATGTAATTGTACGCGCACTCGAGTTGGACTCGTCGGGACGGTTTT